GGGGAGGGTGGTAAAGATGAGGATAATTACATTAATACGAAAACAATAAACGCACATGCAACTTACTAAAAAGAACGATGGCTACGTCGATGGAGGAAAGGGAAAATCCAAATAGCCCATTTAACCAGTGTTCTTTCCTCGCTATCTTTTTTTATATATGGCTGCCAATGCTTTTCTGGGAAGAAATGCACCCCAAAAATTGAGAAAATCTAAAAAGAAAATGGAGCTTAGACTTGGTGAAGTAGCATTAAATTAATGAAACCGTCAACCACTTGAATGGTGGTATACAACTGAGATATCAGCTTTGATTTACGATGATGTAAAGCCTAATTTTAATAAAGGAGATTAAACAACCTAATTTAACAAATTGAAAAATTAAATTTAAAATTAAAATCGAGCCACGAACAGGTCACTGTCAATTTGATGAACAGTCAGTCATCTCACCTGGGAGAGAACTCAATATTTTGCAGACTCTATAGAATAATTAGAGCATGATAGGAGAAAGAGAAGATCGGGCAACACTTTTGAGATTCCAAAATATATGCGAGTAGGCATTGAAATAAAAACTTAATGCTGTTTGGCACACGGTGTAAGGTGAAAAGGTAGGTTTATAAATTTGAATCATTAACTCCTTCTATGTCAATTGACTCCCAACGGGATGCATGTTTTGGCAACGTTTCTTCTACCGCATGGGGTGCGCGATAGACTTACCTCCACGTGGTGCACTCTGGGCAACGTATACTCGTACGAGAAAAAGTTGATAAAACGCCATTTCATTTCAAACTAACATGGCCCCACTGTATGTCATTTTCGACCACTTTCACAGTACTCATCTTACCTTTCCCCCTACCTTTGTGTCTGTCTGTCTCTTTTATATCTGTGATTCACTCTTCTGCTCCCCACCCCTTGACTTCTTGTGACTTCGATGTTTCTCCTCCTATCTGTAAAGCCCGAAGTCAGCTAAAGGGCTAATGATGATTATCATAAATCTTGCCATTTTAAATAAAAACTTCTACTGCATTGGCTCATTTTCTGTTGACTAGCTGGTCTGAATGAAGAACACAGTGCAATCAAATAAAAAGATTCTCTCATGTCACCTTAGTTTAGCTAATTACATTTATACTCCAATAAATTTGTTTTTCGTTTTCACTTTCCTTTTAGCGAAACATTACAATTGGCTATCAAATACTACGGTGGTTAGTCAAATTCCTTCTACCAATAAGAGGAGGGCTCTGTAATATTTAATAATGGACTCATGGTGAAATTCTTTCTAGTATAAAGCTAGTAATTTGCCACCATTTGAAGACGATATTAAATAATATGATCAGCACAAAACCATACTGTAATAATGGCGTAATCATTCTTAACAAAGGAAATTCAAAGATGAAGATATTTTGATAAAGAATAAATTCACCTTATTTTGATTATCAATTTAATTTCCTCACCGAAGCTGACTATTAGGTTTCGCGCAGGGAAATATCTTTTGTTCCTGATAAACATATGAAAAAATGAAAAATATTGACTGAAAAATAAACATTACTAGGTTACTTATTGAAAATTCCGCTTGCATGTCAGATTAGATTATTTACTGATAATTAACGCAGCCGTGTCCTAGTGTGGAACAAATTTAGGTTTGTCATGTAACTCATAATGAATCCTTTTAAAGATAACCCGGTTGATCGTAGCCACAAAGCCAATAGAGAATTACAATGCTCTAGATATGTATTTGGGAAATAAAAATACATATTTAATTTTGGAAACATTTGAATTTGCCAATTATAGGTTGATTGGTTTAGAGCAAACTTCAAGGTCAAGCGCTTACGAGACAGAGGGCGCTAAGAGCGAAGGGTACGTTTTCTTCTATAACAATGTACATTTTTATATATGTGTTCTTTCCCACATCAGGTATTTACAACCTCTTCTCTTATTCGGCATACTTACCCTATTCTCTCCCTGTGCTTTTAACCCACTTACTACTTTCAAATCTAATTACATTTGCTTTACCAATGAAACACTTTTGCTAAATGTCCTCCATTCAACAACTTAGAGGGAGGGAGGGAGGGAGGGAGAGAGAAATAACAAGCGAATCGGGATGGGGAAGGGAGGGAGGCAAGTTGCCATAGATATAAAATCTACTTGTGCAAACCGTAAGCGAATTTGTAGGAGAATCTTCGTAGTTTTTCAAATGAATATACACCATAAAAGTAAAAAAAGGAGCTAACTTTTCTCTACTCTAACATAGCTGAATATTCGGCAGGGATAGCTACTAGGTATTAATCCACTTAAGAGCTTCACAAAAATTGCCCAGTGCTTGAATCATCTGGCTTGGCTTCATTGATTACTCCAAACTTGGTAGCTCATCATTGGTAGTTCATTATTTTTGATGATAACGATGATGATGCACAAATATTGATCAGACAGTTAAATAGACAAGTTAAAATTAACACTGAAACAAGTGCTGAATATAATACTAACAATGATAAGCAGTAATAGCAAGATTATCTTACATTCGTTGTCAAATTTAAAAATAATAAAGAAGTGTGGAGGTTAAAAATTACCATGAGAATGTCATGTCAACAGATGTCATTACGCCACCTTCAAAGTAAATTTTGATAAGCAAGCAAAAGATCAGTAGTAACTAATTAAATTCAGTATTAATTGTTAAAGTGAAATATCCTGAGTCTAGTGACCTAAGTGTAAGGGATCAAACACTAAAAGGAAAGTGTGAACAAATTAAGGAAGTAACTTCGATTTCGGATTGAATGACGTAATAATAAATTAATTGTGAAACGAAATAATTAGTGCATTAGTTACTACTTTTGTTTAATTGAATTCAAGGGGGTTATTACATTTTGGTTTTTTAATTTCATTCATACCTCATAATACTAATAACTAATTGTTTATAAATTGGTAATTTGATTTAAACGATCGAGGTTAGAAAAGTGGCGATTATCAACAGCTAACTCTGATCTGTTATTGAAAAAAATTTAACCAACCGAATAGTCCTTGAAATTGTCCTCGCTAATATACCTTCATTCTTCTTCAATAATCTTATTAAGTTGAAATAAAACGTGTGTTTTAGTTTTTGTTAATGCTCCGTTTTTTTTCATTTTTCAGAATCTTTTTTCACTGATGATCCATCGCTGATATTGCTATTAGTACCCATCGTATAAAATGTCCCCTAAATAGTAACAAATAAATAAAATCGTTTGCAGTAGAGCCAAATTGGAGGGTTTTAAAAGGACACGAAGAGCTATGTTAGGGAATCAGAGTCCCACAACATTTTATTTTTAGACTCAGTTTATGCAGTACTTATTAAGTGGGCAGTTCGCATAAAAAATCCGATTTTCAAATTCGTCCCTTGAACTTTCAAAGCTTATTGTCATATAATGTTTAACCAAGAAAGATCAGACTGTCACCTCATTTCGATGTTTTATTCTGATTGTGATGTAGATGAAACCTTAAATGCTTGTAATTAGCTTACAGTTGTAATTTAATCGAGAAGTGAATAGGAATATACTTTACGCTAGTAGGGCTCACCAAGTTGTACCTACTCAATGCATCCAGAATTAAACTTATGAAAATTGTGGAGGTATTACGGTCGTCTATCTAAATCATGATTAGTTAATGTGAGGAAGAATTGTAGGAAACTGTATAATAGTGCTTGACAGTGTATGAATTATCTCTGCACTAGAGAGAATTAGTAACACTAATTTTAAAAAATGCGAATATTGAATTCGAACACCATAGTTCATTATTGACAGACAAGATTTCAATCAAGTAGTAGGGTAAATTGGTTGCGAGAAAATATAATATTGCGTAAAATCCTTACAAAAACGAAATGCACTGATAAATTTGATTATCTGTCCTCCAAAAAATAAATTCAATGTGAATTTCCGATAATCTGGAGTTCCTATAAGCACTGAGATTCTATTCATTCTCTGCATACGCTTACGAAAATTTCCCAAACATAGCTTTCTCGTTCCACAATTTCGTTCTTTTATTTTTTATAGCTGCGGTTTTAATCAAAGGTCACACTTATGACTTCAGGTTAATCGGTTATCTATTTTCAGTTACAAGTGGGGAAAATAAGGTAAACAGATTTCATTGAGAACGATGGAGTCATCCTTACGCAAAATTGTGAATAAAACGTTTCTTGGTACTCTAAAATCGCAAACAATCGCTAGTCAAGCTAGAAAATTCAGGCCAGATTGTAGGCAATAATAAAAAGGAGTAGGTTTAATACCTTTTAAGGTACAAAATTGATCCAAAATATGCTTACTTATATAGGTTATATAATTTTCAGCGTTAACTTTAAACAAACTATATAACTATTACTTCACTTTATTAATGATGCCTAAAATCGTTTAAATGTTCCTAATATCAGCTTAAAATTAAATTACCTTAGAAAAATATTAAATGAAATAATAAAAATAAAGGTCGTCGAGCATTTGTTTTTACTAGCATAAGGTAAGTTGCCTTTTTCGTAAATTACGACGTATGCCTGCACCAATATCAGTCCAGTCTCAAAAGCTCATTCGTAAGTAAATTTTCATGCTTTTATTTATTATTTTAGCTTGGCTTGTGGAAAGGCGTGTCATTTCTAAGGATTATATGAAATCACTGGAGTATATTTCAAAGAAAATAAATGATTTTAATGCGTCATCTGCTGATAAAATCGAATGCATAGATGCTAAACCTGGTAAATGTTCTGAAATTAGTTTATTTGACGCTGTCGAAAACCGTTTAAAAAGTTATTTAATATTGTTATTTTAGTTCAGTACTTTTATGCACTGGATGTTCTCAAACACCTTGAGAATACGGACAATAAAAAGGACTTTTTCGGACGTGACAGCGCTTCCATTAGAGTAGCAATATTTATTCATAGTTTATTTCATTTTTTAGACTTGGAGAGACATTGTTTCTCGTTACAAGTCCGAACACATTAATTTAGCCGAAGTTTCTGAACGTTTGAATGATCTCTGTTACCAACTGCTTAAATGTAAATCGTCTATTGCTGATCGACAGAAATTGATCAACGTAATTTTTGGTTTTCATTATTCTCTTTATTTCCTTTAGGACCTACAAAAGAAGATTACTGAATTCACTGCTAATCATCATTCCAAAGAAACCGAACTCACACGATTTTGCAATCAATTTGATATTAAGGACGATCATGCTCGTCTTCAACTCCTTGAAAAAGCGTCTAATCTTCCCTCTTCTCTCAAGGAATACGTCGACGGTTTGAAAGACCTCGCCCATGTTGTAGACTTCTACTTAGCCTACACAAATTTCCTCAATCCGGAAAACGAGTCAACCAGTCATGCCTGTCCAACTCTTCGATTATTAATTAATTCTGGAAATGTTACTGCCTATGAGTGGCGAACAGGACACGCACCGAGTTGCATTGGTGAGAGTGATGACCACATTCCAAGAATGATTGAAATGGAGAGAAAGGAGATTGAGGCTTTGGAGGCCGACACTGCTGAGGACAGCCAAGAAATTAATGTGAGTTCATTTTCTGTTTTATGGGTTTGTTCGAATTTACGCCTTCTGTCTGTTATCTGCGTTTTTACATCAATACTATGGGGATTTCAGTGGATTAATTTTTCGATACCATTTATAATCATGACATTTATTGATCTTCAACACTGAATATTTTAAAGTTCTCACTTTTATTCCGATAGTTTAATTTATTACCTTAGTAAAAGCTTCGTGTTGTTAGTGGCTCTCTTTTCAATGTTCTTTGAAGTTATGATCTCAGCAAACTTGATTAGCAATTGATTGCATTTGTCATAACTTGAGCTGACCAGCTGAGGAGGCCTCTGCATTCACGATCGCACCCTCCGGAATGTTTGGGTGCACGCAGTTTAATCGTGCCAAGATTTTGACAGTTATTGATCAAGTTCACTTTCACGGCTCTGTGCATCTCTGCGTAGGCTTGAACTGCCCAGCATCAGAGCGCTTCATGGACTAATGTATCAACTATTATTATAAGAATTATCGTTTACAACCTCATTTCTCGGATATATTATATTGGCAAATTGGGGTGTGTGATAGACTTACCTCCACGTGGTGCACTCTGGGCAACGTATACACTTACGGCAAAGAAGTCTATTAACTGGCAGTTGACTTCTCACTTCAAACTGCCATCATCTCACTATATGTCATATTCGACTACTTCCATAGTACTCACCTCACCTTTTTTCTACCTTTGTGTGTGTCTCTTTTACACCTTTGAAACTCTCTTCCGTTCCCTCTCCCCTCTCGACTTTTTTCAATTTGATGTACCTTCCTCTCTGTGAAGCCTGAAGTCAACTAAAGGGCTAATGATAACCTTCAAGACGCCTGCCATTTGATATAATAATATTGGCAAATTTCTCGAATTAGTTTAAAATGAGTCAATCTATGCATGGTAGTTAATTTGAATTAACAGTAATTCCACAAAATCTATCAATTACTGTATCAGGTTTCATTACATACATTTATCCATAACAAATTGTGCTAGTGCTTATTTTTCGGGTAAGCATACTCATTTGTTTCCACAAATCAATCAATTTTTGTAATGAAACTGCAAGCTGAATCTTGACCGATCGCTCGTGAGCCTGCTTTTAATCGCTTATTCATTTCTTCTAGAGTTTTCCCTAGATTCCATTGATTTTTCAAGAAATGTCATATTGATTGATATCCACATAGTTGGTTCATTATAAGAACCCCTTAATAAAGACCTAACTAATTTTGTCATCTAATGTTAATTTAAGAAACCCAAAACTTTAAAATCTTTCCTAGGTAAGTATTCTGAAGCCGTTCTGATAAGTGGCCTACCACTGTACCGTGATGAACATCGATGAATTGGCCTCTTATTTGGCAGACAATCATCAATACTCTACCACCTGCCTACATTCCTTGTTTTCCATCTTAACCAATTATATTTGATTTTCAGTTCGGTGATCTTGATCTTGAGGGTGAGACAGACTTGGGCGAAATCGATTTTGGCACTGACCTTCTTGATGAAATTAATATTATTGACATATCAAACGATTTAACAACTAACACCGAGGAAGAAAAAGACAATAGCTCGAAGATAGAGGGCAAAGGTCAATCAACTCTCGGCAAGTCGTCTTTCGTTGCCACTGGATCTGATGCTCGTCTACTTTTGGACTCAACAGACGGCAGGAATGCCCTCATTAATGATCTCGAAGAGTTGTCCACTTTTCTAATCCGTGTCCGGGAAAATCTAGTTGTATTTCAAGGTGCGGATTTCAACCTACCAGTGAATCCCACTAAAAAGAAGGTGGGAGGATTGAATACGGATTCCGTCGCACCGATTTATCATCAAATTATGTTGGTAATTTTGGTCGCTTCTAATAACACGTTTGCTTTTGCTCAATCGATAATAATCGCGTTTGGTTTGTATTCGAAATTTTAGGATGCTCCAGAGGAGATAAGGTCAAAATCGCCCGATGATATTGATTTGATGTCCGCGACCGTTCAAAAGGCCTTTAACGAGATCACTAACGAGCAAGTCACCAATTTATTTTAATGAATGAGCTTTTCGATAGTAGATTTTTTCTTAAGTATGAAGTTACAATAAATGAAAACAATATTCCTTTTTTTCTTATCCAAATTTTGTTGTGATTATATGTCTTTTCTGAAATTCATATTCCCGAAGTGGAATGTCCATTGGCACAATGCTAGACCTACAAGGTTAGTTAATATTTGCACTTCTGAGATAAAACGAGTTCTTTCAATCAGACAGTCCCTAGTGTATTTTATCGATATTTTTAAGAGTCCTTTTGGCTTAAGATCGGTGGATATACAGTTTTCATAATAAGTAACTTACAGAGTGCCTAGCAAGTCTTCTTTACTCTTAAGGTTAGTCTTTTATCCTCCACCAATTTTCGAGTTGCATGTAGTTCTGTTTGTGTACGGAAAGTGGGATGTGGTTGAGCTTTTCAACTCAAACCTCCGTCATTGATTAACGTTCTTTTGTGCTTATACATGTCTTCTTATTTTCAGAGCAATAACCCACATGTCTCTTTTGAGACTCCAACCGAGTTATTTAGAGCGTCTTATTGGAATTATGCAGAATCTTCGTCAACAAGCCAATCGTTCAAAAGCTCGTGCTGCGGAACTTGCAGCTACTGTGGAACAAGCTAATGAGGAGCTAACCAAGCTCCAAATCGAAATGAACGAGTGCTTACAGGAGCGGCGACAACTTGTTTCTTTTGTGAGTTGACCTTCATTATCACTGCACACGTAATACTGGATCTCTAATAAGTCTTTTAATTTCAGTTGGAGAAGGAACTATCGACGCTATATGATCGTGATATTAAGTTAATCGGAGCTGCTATTGCTATGTAGAATGAAGTCAGGGTTAACCTTATTTATTGGTCTTTTGTTACTTATATTTTGAGAATAAATCACTCATCATTTACCATTGTGTCTTATGTATTGTGGATATTGTCAAACCTAAGGGGCGGGGGGGGGGAATCGGGTTGGCTTTAATATCAACTAAGGCCATACTCCTTGAGTTCTAGTAGGCAGTGAATTTTTTACACATGGATTATGAAGGAGAGGCCGAGATGGTTGATTATTCAATTTTTTGCAAAGTGCAAGTGCATACAGAATTTGTGAAATTCATTTAATTTAGGTTGAGATCAATTAGAATGATTAAGGCAGAGAGCCACTAAACTGCAATACCAAAATACCTCGGGACTGTAGGGCGATTAAGAGCTAAATAACTCTTCAGTGATGAAGAAATTAATTGATCAAAAATTAGTTGATTCAGCTCATTTAATAACAATTCGTTAAATTCAAAAAAATGTTTTATGGTTCTCTGATATTGTTATTTTAGCATAAGTGGAAATACTCGAGTGCTTGAATATTATGACTTGTTCTAACTATTGTAGGTCATACCCATTTATAAATTGGCGAGGCCGGGTTTAAAAATCCAATAGTATTTGAGCTGTATTTTTCGCCGTACATGCGGGTGAATTAACCTGTATGAAGTTAATAATCTATAGTCATTTTATCGAATATTTTTTTGACATTTAAAAATAAGCTCATTCTACAAATTTTTAGCGTGCGTTTCCTCTAATTTTAAATTCTTTTCTGAAGTCCTATAATTTTTATTATTATTGTGCATTGAGAGGAAAATAAATCTATCTCATAAATTAATTTAGACTTAACATGGATCTAATGATTCAAGGCGTCCCCATTCACTTTCCATATAAACCATATGGTTGCCAACTGTCAATGCTCAACCGTGTAGTTTCTTCACTTAACAATAAACAGGGATGTCTTTTGGAATCCCCTACTGGCACTGGCAAAACTCTAGCATTGTTATGTGCATCTCTTGGTTGGTTAGAACATCAACGAAACTTTGGTATGAAGGTCGAAGAACCTGGTATGGATTCACACTCTAGTTATTTTTGTTTATTTAGTCTCGCGAAGAGAAGTTGAACATCTCAAGTACTGCGAGTTGTCTACTGCTTCTCAGAAAACTGAAGATGATGAGGATTTTGGCGAATTTATTGAGGACAAAAGTAATAAAGTTGTTGCCACTTGTACATGTGGTGCCGCTGAAGCAGACGCTAATGGTGATGATGCACATATAATCACAGAAAAGGCGTACGCTTAATTTTTTTTTTCTATCTTATAAATTTTGTATAACAGGGCTGTACCGCGAATAATATATGCAACCAGAACTCATAAACAGATTTCTCAAGTTATTCGCGAGCTTCGGAAAACGAAATATGCCAATGTCGAGTAACTTTCAATTGACCTTACCTAGCATGACTTCTCTTTCAGAATGTGCATTCTAAGTAGTAGAAAGCACTCTTGTATTAACCCAGAAGTTCGCAAACAGTCGAATGCAAATGACGCTTGTCAGAACCTGGTAAACTTTTCCAAATTTTCCTTTTGATCTAACTTGTTGCTAGAAAGGAAATTGTCCCTTTGATTTAGCACGAAGTAAACAGAATTTGGGACGACATATCAAAGCTCTGAATAAGAATGGACCCTGGGATTTGGAAGACTATGTTGAAGCAATGTCAAAGGTTCCTACCTGCCCCTATTTTCTTGCTTTTAAAATTCTGGAACGCGCGAGCCTCTGCTTCTGTCCTTATAATTATCTTCTCGACCCGGTTTTCCGCGAAACGGTACGCTTTACTGCTATGACGTCTTTGATGTTTTCATTCCTGGAATAAAGCAATTATCTATTTGCCTTTTTATTATAAAAAATCAAATGATATTCATTGAATAATGCTAGGAGTATCTAGTGCGATCCCCGTTTTCTTTATATCCCTGCCTTCAATGTGATTTTTTTTTCAAGATCTTCTATTGGTTTGAAAAACTGCTCTCTAATCTACACTAATCAATTACAATTATTTATTTTTAGGTCAATTAGGCTTGTATGGTCTTGATAATTTGCTAAATTTGTGACTTAGAATTTTCTTGCTATAGGAGGCTTGGTTGTCATCGTTTACTATGTTTAAATGGGAACGAAATCGATGTAGATAATATGGGAATTTAGTTATGGGGAAACTAAATTCATCTACTTCAACAATTTCTACGACCTTTGTATTGTTGCCTTTTCTTATTTTTTTGTCTGGGGTGTGCGATAGACTTACCTCCACTTGGTGCACCCTGGTAAGTAAGTCTATTAACCGGCAGTTGACTTCTGACCTCAAACTACCCACTAACACAGTACTCACCTCACCTTTGTTCTACCTTTGTGTCTGTGCTGTACTCACCTTACCTTTTTCTCTACCTTTGTGTCTGTCCATAGTACTCATCTTACCTTTTTCTCTACCTTTGTGTCTGTCTATAGTACTCACCTCACCTTTTTTCTACCTTTGTGTGTGTCTCTTTTACACCTTTGAAACTCTCTTCCGTTCCCTCTCCCCTCTCGACTTTTTTCAATTTGATGTNTTCCCCCCCCCCCCCCCCTCGACTTTTTTTCACTTTGATGTACCTTCCCCTTTGTGAAGCCTGAGGTCAACTAAATGGCTAATGATAGTCATCAAAACGCCTGCTATTTGATATAAATAATTTTTTTTTGTCTAGGTGGCCAGTGAAATCGCCAACAGTGTTATAATAATCGACGAGGCGCATAACATTGAAGACGCGGCTCGTTCAGCTACTTCGGTTACTTTCCTCGAACGTGACGTGTTGGCTGCCTCAGATGATCTCAAAAGATACCTTGCTCTCCTTGAATCCGATGCGTCTGGCAGTGCAGCTATTTCACTCACTGTGAAGGATGTGAAGGCTCTGATTGCTCTCCTAGCTTCGATACATCAAGTCATGTTGCTCACAAGAACTAGACTTGTTGTGGCTGGTACTTATGCTACCTCGGCGCAAGTCTGGTCCGGAAAGGAGCTTGAAGGTCTGTTGTCTACAGTTGGTTTGGGTGTGGATCGATTTGAGTCTGTGAGGGTGAGTAGCCAAAATTCTCCCATTTTAGAAAGGGAATGTATTCCTACTCTGAAATTCATAGTAGTTTAACTCTAATACCTTTGCAAACTTTGTTGTATTCACCTTCCGATGATTTGAGATCTTAAAAGGAGTTGAGAGCTTCTAGTTAGTTCCCATAAGAGTTTAGTTCCAATAATTATTTTCTCTGTCTTTAAAATTTTCATGTTCATTTTTTATTTGCTTTAATGTATTTCAGAATTGCTAATTTGAACTGTCAAAGCCCGAAGGAGATTTGTGTCTTTCAAACGTCACTAATCATCCCTCTCGTGTTTACGTGATTTTAATTTAATAAACTTTACGACTTGAAAGTGTGCTTGAGATTGGTTTGAGTTATTAAATTGAATTCTCACTTTTTCGGTCTCCTGAATACTACTTTTAAATGTGCAGTCCTAGGTGTTTTTCGATTCAAAACAAGCGCCACTTCTCTAGTTTTACTATTTCTTGCGACTGCATTCAGTTTTTTTTATATGCGGGTGAGATTTCTGTTTCGGCTAGTTTGCACAAAAGAGAAGGTAAAAATCACCTAGGTCTATTTGGTAAAAGTGGAAATAATCGTTATTCTCTGTTCATGCAGGCAGGTTTCAATCGCTTGAGTGTAACAATTCAGAAGGAAGCGGCAATTAATCGGGATTCTACCGGTCGAAACGAGGCCTCAACTTCTCCCAGTTCCCTCACCGTTCGACTCTTCACCTACATCTTCACCATGCTCAAATTTATGTACAAGTAAGTCGAAAGCAACTTAACTTGAATGCTAACAGGACATAATTTTTGCTCTATTCTCTTTAAATGTAGCTTTTAGGAAATATGAAGTACTGGTGGAAACTCTTATTGCGTAATCATTCTTAACTGTATTGACTGTAAGAGGATTTGCGTAACTGTATGAATTTTTTTCAACAAGATTAGTTTTTATGGTATAAGAATAGATTCATCGGCATGCATGCCTGAACGAATAGGATTGACGGAATCTATAAATTGTTAATTCCCAAAACCACTTATGTGGAGTGTTTTTCCCCTCTCATTTTGTGTTTAGAAATGAAATCCCATTGGGAAACTCACTTGCCCTCCCCTTCCTTGCCCATATAAAACATTTTAACGCATGATGTTCTATTTATATTGAAATGCAATCGAGGAGACCAATAAACTAGTAACGATATATAAATGACATTAAGATGACGTCAAGTTATGAACATAAATGAGCCAATAGAAATCTAGTCATGCTAGAAAAGTTTATCAACATGGATTGGTTATCTTCTTCAATCTATTATTTAATCACTTTTCTTTGATTATATTTTTTCAGCTAGAATTTTAATTTCTCTCTTCAATGTCCCTCTCTTAACTATTTTACCCTTAGTGACAACATGCATCGCATGCAAGACTATCGGGCTGTGCTTATGGAAGTCATTGATTTCGAGAAACAACCTCTCAAAGAGGATCTCAACGATTCTAATACTCATGGGAATAAATGGTTCAGCAAAACTCAGACTCGAAATGTAAGTCAACAGTCACTTTCAATCGCAACTACTGAAATGCGATATAATTAGCATTTTTATTTTAATATTTTTTTTTTCATGACAGTCTCGTCTGGTTGAGCGAAAAAGTTTAAGTCTCAACTTTTGGTGTCTCTCTCCGGCTGTCTGCATGAGAAGTATAGCTGAAAATGCCTACAGTCTCATTCTGGCTAGTGGGACCTTGGCACCACTGGGTGCTTTAGTGGCCGAACTTCAACTGCAATTTCCTGTCCGTCTTGAGGCGGGGCATGTGGTGCCTACTCAACGCGTCCTAGCAGCTTGTGTTGCACGCGGTCCAAATGGAACTCGACTGTGCGCTACGTATGCTAATCAGAATGCTTTCGTATTTCAAGATGATGTGGGCTCTCTGCTTCTGGAGTCGTCAAAATGTGTTCCCGGAGGAGTGTTGTGTTTCTTCCCGTCCTATGGGTTGATGGAGAAGATGATAGCAAGATGGGAAGTGAGTTCATTAATTTGCTTATTTTTGATTAGATTTTAATAATCAAGCGCGCAAATGAATTGGTATTGGGGGGGGGGGGGTTAAAGGTTAAGTATTAAATCCTCGATTCCGCTTATATGCAATATTATTTTGAAAAGGAGTTAATTTTAGCGATTGTTTCGTTTGTTATCGCCTTATAATCAATGAGAATCATTCAAGTTCAAAGATTCAGGAGTTGATAAGTTGCTTTTATTCGCATTCGAACAAGTGCGCGCACTTTTACGGGGCCTGTGGAAGGTGTGACTGCCAAGTATAATTACATTGTAAAATCGCATGAAATAAAATTTCGATAATGTCTCTCTGAAAAAACTTTAGTCGGAATTTGTCAAGTAATGACGGCTTTAGAGTCTCCACTGGTGTGCCGAAGAATTTAAAATGCTTTACTGTGGGAAATATACGTGAAAATTTTTTTGAATTAATTTAGGTAATATTTATTTATTCCAAATGACAGGCGTTTTGATAGTTATCATTAGCCCTTTAGCTGACTTCGGGCTTCAGAAAGAGGAGGAGGAACATCCAAGTGAGGAAAAGTCGAGAGGGGGGCAGAATAATGATTCACAGTTGTGAAAGAGACAGACAGACACCGAGGAAGACAAAAGGTAAGATGGGTACTGTGAAGGGTCGAGTATGACATTCAGTGGGGTGATGGTAGTTTGAAGTCAGAAGTCAACTGCCGGTTAATAGATTTTTTGCCGTATGAGTATACGCTATCCAGGGTGCATCACGCGGAGGTTTGTCTATCACTCACCCCCAATTTAGGGAATATAGATGAATACTTTTTTTTCTATGTAAATGCAATGAATTAACTCACTGAAGGCTCTATTTGAATTAAACAGCAAGTACTAAGCGCCCTGTGGTAACTTTCAAATTTCTCGTTTTTTTTGTTCTGTAGACAACCGGCATGTTAGCCAAGCTATCGCAAGTCAAGCACGTGCTTCAGGAACCGCGGTCATCGGAAAAATTCGACGAATGGGTGTCCGATTTCCAGGAAGCTGTTGATTCTACGCGTGGAGCATGTGAAGGCGAGGTGACAGGAGCCCTGGCACTGGCTGTCTGTCGAGGGAAAATTAGTGAAGGATTGGATTTCGCAGACGACTATGGTCGATTGGTTGTGGCCATTGGAATTCCCTTTCCTGCGTACAAAGATCCACAGGTAATCAATGAATAATTACTTTTGCAATGCCATCTCCCCTGCAGCTTCTATTTTCTCGAACTTGTGGTGGTGGTGGTGGTGGTGGTGGGGGGGGGGGGGGGGGGGGGGTGACATAGTTACAGCTTCTCTGGAGCTTGGTTTTTTGTTCCTCTTTTTACTATCTTTCCCCCTTTCATGACAGGTTTAAGAAATTATTTTGGCGGTGATAATTGATTGTTTCATCTTTAGCGTTTTTGTCCAAACAGACGCTTTCAAGTCTGTGGCTGCCTGATCAATGATTAACCAATGTTGAGGCGTCCGGCTTTCTTATCTTTATTTGCAAAACAAATATTTACGTGGTGGAAATGTGCGCATAATCACTTATGCATTCATTTTCCATGGTAGGACTAAAAGGCCTTGTTTGGTATCATTGAGTATGACCATAGTTTAAGAGTCGAGTATTGCATAGTAGAAGTGAGTCGAGGAAACTGGAGAACCCTACTTCTTTTATGATCCAAAGTTTTTCAGATCTAATGTTCACCATGTTTGTCACCTTGGTGTATGGGTTGGGAAGATTTATGCTTCAACTTTTCATATGATTTCAGAGCCTTCCTCTTTTCGCATAATTCTTGTTGTATTCTTATTAGACAAAGAAGTCTACCATTCGAAAGTTAATCTCTCCGTCCTTGGTCATCAAACCGCGCCACTTTAATCTGCAGAGTCAATGGCATCCCATTTTTCTATTTATTTATTTCAAATGACAGGCGTTTTGATAGCTATCATTTGCCATTTAGCTGACTTCGGGCTTCACAGAGGGAAGGTTCATCAAAGTAGCGGAAAGTCGAGGGGTGGGGAAGAGAAGAGCGATTTACAGATGTAAAAGAGGCAAACAGACACAAAGGTAGAGAAAAAGGCAAGATGAGTGCTGTTGAAGGGGTTGAATATGACAAGCAGTCGGGCTATGGTAGTTTGAAGTGAGAAGTCAACTGCCAGTTAATAGACTTTTTTGCCGTATGAGTATACGTTGCCCAGGGTGCACCACATGGAGGTAAGTCTATCGCACACCCCTCTTTTGCTAATATCTCGTTGTCTTTGGGGCGCTGAGGCAAGGTTTCTCAAAGTTATTATTACGTCGAAATTGTAACAATCATTCCTGATTTCCTTCCTCGATCAGTGTTCTGAACTTCCTTTAAACCATTGTCATCCGCGTTCTTATCGGTGATGGTTAGACAAACCACGCAAAATGAGTGGTTTGCTAAATGCTTACAAATTTTTCTATTCATTACTTTAGATTGAACAAAAACGAGCTTTCAATGATGCTCTTCGACTAGCTGGGCCTTCTCAACAGAGTTCTTCGGTTCAATCGTTCACTGCTAAGCCAATGGTGAGTGCTATAATTGTGTATAATTGTAGGGCATAGTTTCTGTGTTCTAATAATTCTTGTAAAAATGGACTATACTTCTTTTTTCGGTTGAGCTAGGTTGGTAACGGAAGGTGTCCACGCTTGGAAGTGATATAAGTTTGCTATTGTTACAAAACTTTTTATCTCAGGTATATTCCAAATTTAACAAAATTTAAGGCGATTTTTTTTTTACAATAAAATTAAATTGTGCGGTATCTGTAGCGGATTGCTACTTTATTAAAGCCTGACTGACACAGAAATCTCTGTGGCAGATCCTCCTACATCTAGCTAGACTCCCAGAACCAGCTAAACTATAGCCCAGCTATGAAGGAAACAGACGTGTAGCACGGAGCACGTTTACTCTGGACGTATATTGCGGATAAAGTCTACACGGAGGGAGCTACTCATGATCAGGATGGGGGATTAGGTTAAACAGAGGTTACTTTATGATCACTGTTTGTACAGTCGCTGCACACAGAGTTGTAAGGCCGCACCTGCTTGCACGGTCGCTGCGCGCAGAGTTGTACGGCCGCACCTCCCAATCCTGGCGAGCAGACATGCACGCATACGATGACGCACAGAGCGATAACATTTCCCTCATATTTTTATTTAGATCTAACTTTATTCTCGTTACTAACTCTGGTGAATGCCTTAATTTACGATTTTCGAGCCAATACTTCAATTAGGAAGAGGGAAAACATGAAATCTCGTTGTTTCGTCCAAAACTTCCTCTTTGCCTTAAGCTCGATCTTTGCACAGTAGGGCGTAATTCGCACTGATTTGCGAAACAAATTGCGGGATAAATGTTAATGTTTATAATAATTGGAAGTAAATAGGAAATTTAATATTCATTGCGTTAAGAGAACATTGCTAATATGTTCTCATAATTCAATTCTCATTTATAACCTAATTGTTCGGATCTTATTTCATGGCATTAAAAAACGCCATACTTGATCGCACTGTAGTCCAACTTCTATATCAGCTATTTTTATGAGCGCATTGACACTATGATGCCTAAACCGAGGTGTACGGTAGACTTACCTCCACGTGGTGCACCCTGAGTAACGTATACTCATACGGCAAAAAGTCTATTTACCGGCAGTTGACTTCTCACTTCGAACTACCCTCACCCCATTGTATGTCATATTCGACTACTTCCACAGTACTCACCTCACCTTTTTTTTCTAACATTGTGTCTGTCTCTTTTACATTTTTGAATCTCTCTTCTGCTCCCCCTCTCGAATTTTTCTCACTTTGATGTTCCTCTCCTCTGTGATGCCCGAAGTCAGCTAAAGTGCTTATGATAACCATCAAAATGTCTGCCATTTGATATAAATAAATAAAAATGATGTCTTAACTTAAGTTTTAAGCGAACTAGTGTCTGGCGTAAAACGAATTACCTTTGAGGGTGATTACTAATTCAGACTTAATAAAGACGTGGAACGATTCAATTACTAATTGAGAGTGCACCTTTGTCTTTAAGAAACGTCCTGGTGATGAACATTCCGGCGGTTTGGAAAAGCCCTCCAAGATGATGCATGTGTCGGGTTCTCTTCGCAATAAGGCCTTTCCAAATAAACTCAATCCACCGACACCCCTCAGAGCAGCTCTAGCAAGTTTTCTCCACACCTTTTAACTAATTCCTAACGAGGTTTGTGGTTTGGTTGATTGAGTCTTCGTTGTATACTGTTTTTCAGAGTCAAGGTATTAAAGGCGAATCTCTACAAAAATCCATTCCTAAACAAGTCGAAACTTCTTCTGGTTTGGACTCTTCTCAAGCGAGCTCGAGCGAGTTAAGTATTCCCGATTCATCAAGAGTTCTTTCAGGCTCTGAGTGGTATGAGGCACAAGCCTATAGGGCCCTGAATCAGGCACTGGGCCGATGTATTCGACATCAGCATGACTGGGGTGCTATAATCCTGGCTGAAGCAAGATTTGTGGAACAGCCAAGACGGTATTTGCCCGGAATATCCCGATGGCTTCGAAATCAGTAAGCATTATTCCATTGTTATGCAGATTCACGACTATAGTTGATTGTCCACTCTTTAACTCAACAATTATCTTCATGTTAGTAAGGCGATTTCGGTGCTTATCTTAAATAAGTATTTTCGTTTGATATCTGAACTAATGGTTAATTTTAATGGATACGCCTTTGAAGTGTGGTGATGGACAGTTAGTTATGTTCAAAATTAGCAAATAAAACCAAGCATTCCTCTCAAACACTTTGTTGGAGGGAATTATACGTGCTTAAGGTTTCATAACGCGGGTTTGAATTAATATAGCTATAAGCACTTTGCATTTTTTGTTAACTTCATGGTTGCCACCCTTTGAATCAATAGTTACTTTTCAATTCTTCTTTGTAGATTTGTTCCTCATGAGAAGTGGTCTGGGTTGCTGATGGACTTGAAAGAATTTGTTGAGCGGATGACCCGGACTTCTGAGCTCTCCTCTAGTTTTGTATAAATTTGTGCGTCTAGTACATTTTAACACCACTGTTTTTTGTTTACAATTTGCTTTTTTTTGGTACTACTTTAATACAGTAAGTAGGCATGAATTTTTAATTAACAATATTGCCCTCTAGAGTCCTAATTTTAGGCTAAGTTGCTATAAGTGTGTTAACTGGGACATTATAACAATGCTACTGTGTTAGTATTTTAGAGTGTGCACTATATTAGCATTATATTTTGTAAGTTATTGAATTAAAATTTATTTTTTTCATATTTGCATGGAGCACTTCGTTTTGGAATGCATAACTTCATAAAAGAATAAAATGTTGGGACATTGACCACCTCTTATTCATTTCTGAACGACGCAAGGAGCTTTAGATTTAACTCTGTAGCGTCCGAATTACGTTTTGAAAAAATGCACTCAACCGCATTCATGCGTGCCTCACAGCAGACTGATGTCGCCGACGTGATGAGTTTTGGTTGTATCTGTGGAAAGCTATAGACGTATTGAACATGTTTCAAAGGGCAATAACGCCTTCTGCTACGGGTCTAGCAAGAATGGTGTTTATTTCTAAAAAAGTATCGTACAGTCCTAAGGGTGTTAAAGGGTTAATGCTACTGCCACGTTTTCGGTGGGTTTCATTAAATTAAGACCTTTAGCTACTCTTAAAACTCTAAATATTAACTGTCACCTTCTAAATGCCCTTCAAAGATGCATTACACTCACAAAATTTCTGTCGTTAGCTTTCTTCTGACATCAGACAGCTCAGTGGTGGATCGTAAAATATGTGATCAAGAAGCTTCCTGTCGAATTCAAACCTCCTCTATTGTCCCACGTATGGAAGAAATAATAAAAAAACGACAAATACTTGAAGTGAGTTGTAGCATTTAGCCTATCTCAGACAATCATGGGTTGGTATTTTGCGAGCGTCCGGTTTCCTGAATAATACAAGTGCGCACTCTGGAGGAGTCCGTTGAGCCATCAGTAGATTCAATGTATGCTTCTTAAGTAATTAATATTTTTAAGGAACAGGATGCTTGTTGATATTCATAAGAGCAGGACCATATTTCCCCTGATGTCGAATCAAGGCAAATAATTTTTCCATTTTTAATAATGGCATGATATGCAAATATTTGAGAATCATTTAATAATATTTGTTTTAAATGGCAGGCGTTATGATAGGTATCATTAGCCCTTTAGTTGACTTCGTGTTTCATAGAAAGGAAGAGGAACACCAAAGTGGCAAAAAGTCGAGAGAGGGGGAACAGAATAATGATTCACAGACGTAAAAGAGACAGACAGACACAAAGGTAGAAAAAGGTAGGTGAGTACTGTGAAATAGTCGAATATGAAATGCGATGGGGTCTTGGTAGTTTGAAGCCAGAGGTCAACTGCCAGTTAATAGACTTTTTTGTCGTATGAATATACGTTGCCCAGGGTGCACCACGTGGAGGTAAGTCTATTGCACACCCCAACATTTAATAATATTTAAAAGTGGGGCAAGCAGTAGAAGAGTCACTGTCCACTGACCACTGTCATTTGTTACTTCAATTGAAATTGTCCGTTGTTTTAATTGCAGTTGGTACAGTTCAGTGCTGGGTGTTCAAGTTCCGATCTCAAAGCTTGTTCCTGAGTTAACGTCTACAATTTGTGGAACGTTTCGACCAATTCAAACCTTTTTTCCTTTTGATAACAAAGTAATAGCACGTGGTCGCCAGTGGACATCATTATTTTGAAATGGCAGAGACTTAATATTTAAACTTTAATTTATGGATGAATCGGTTGTATATCTGCAGAGGTCACGTGAAATAATTTTACTACTGGGTTAAAAGAAATAGCAATGAATGAATGTTACCTTTGACTTTGGATCCTCAATCGCAATTCAAAGCTTCTTTAGGGAAGGGTTTTACAGTGCTCATAATGGACCCTCTGACAAAAGACTCGAGTACTGCTGTCCCCTTTGTTAGTGCGGTTGGCTATCCCCCTTACTGAGTTTGGGCTGTCGTGAGTTAAACGCGCGATCTCTAATATGCCAGACGTGCAGGGTAACCGAATGGCACAACAGAATTGGCAGATTCCACTGATCTTTAGTGGTTCATCTCTGCACGCCAGGAGTGCCAGTCAGTTTCACCATTCATTTTAATATTTACTTATATCAAATGGCTGGCGTTTTGACAGTTATAATTAGCCCTTTAGTTGACTTCAGGCTTCACAGAGGGGAAGGTACATCAAAGTGAAAAAAAGTCGAGAGGGGGAGGGGGGGGGGGAACAGAAGAGTATTTCAAAGATGTAAAAGAGACAGACACAAAGGTAGAGTGAAAAAGGTGAGGTGAGTACTGTGGAAGTAGTCGAATATGACATACAGTGAGGTGATGGTGTTTTGAAGTCGGAAGTCAACTGCCGAATAATAGACTTTTTTGCCGTATGAGTATACCTTACCCAGGGTGCACCACGTGGAGGTAAGTTTATCGCACACCCCACTCATTTTAATATCACATTATTAACAAGACGCGGGCAGCGTTTTATCCCATTTTACCATTTTCTTGCTTTCTGCTTTTGACATAATTTAAAATTGAACAACACAGTTCAATTATGCGGCATTCCTCGTTAATGACAATGCACCTTTGTCAATGGAGGTCTTCATTCGTGCACAACGCAATATTGTTATAACGCCTATGTCGTTTATGTTGGTTCAAGCCACCCCGGGAATTTTGATTTAGTATCATTCGTAACGGGCAGTGAAAGGATAAAGTTAGGCCTTTGTTCCACCTTCTATAACGAATGCGCCGTAATTTGCAATAATTCAATTGTCGAATTTATTATTTCTCTCATAAAATTTTGGATCCTGAAGGGAAGAAGCCCACCGAATTCTTATTTCACCTCATGAAATGAATAGAAAAGAAAGATTGGCCAAATTTAAATTAAAGTGAATAGATATTATGCCCACAGTTTAAGATATGAAAGAGGGGGGGGGGGGTTCGTTTTTGGTAGGCCGTTTCAGCTCCGATGTGCTAAAATCATGGAGATTTTTGACATCATCTGTCTGCTCTCCTGTACCACTTGATTTAACACGCCAACTACGAGTGGGAAGGCTGTGAACAGGTGATCCATGGAACAGGTTGTGAAATTGGACCTCACAAAGTGGACGCAGTGAATTAAGCATAACGTAGTTATTATCAAAAAACGAGTCCAAAATAAATAATTAAAATTAGTCATATGTAATACTTGAACTTTAGTCTCAGCAACCTTTCGATCTTCTAAACCCATTTTGCAGTCACTTTGTTATTTCGAGATGAAAACCGCAGTTGTAGTCAACAGTTATTGTTCTACTCAAATTATATACTTTTCTGCTCTAAATGTGAGAAAAAGAGAATGATTCGATAGAGTCCCTTAAATATTCATGTCCACTTAATCTATATGTTTTTCATACACTCAATGACTTTGTGCCCTAGTGGTTCCAGTCACCTTCCCCACAAACAGTGTTATTTACTTGATATTATCCCACGGTGAAATTCAGCTCTCAGATTGTAGACATCTTCGTGTTTATTTATATGTCTCGAATGTAGCGCCGAGTTAAAATCATTTTTACTGATGTCTGTTTACCCCCCCCCCCCCTCAAATTCAATCTGGCGGTATGATTGTAAAACAGAAGGAGTTTTATAAAATTTACTACTTGTATCCATGTTTTAGGGAAGATGTGCAAGTCTTGCAGAGCTTAATTATATTAGAGAGGGGTGCGTGATAGACTTACCTCCACGTGGTGCACCCTGGGCAACGTATACTCATACGGCAAAAAGTCTATTAACTGGCGATTGACTTCTGGCGCAGTACTCATCCTACCTTTTCTCTGCCTTCATGTCTGTCTCTTTACATCTTTAAATCACTTTTCTGTTCCCCACCCCTCGATTTTCTGTTACTTTGATGTTCCTCCCCCCTGTGAAGTCCGAAGTCAGCTAAAGGGCTAATGATAAATATCAAAACGCCTGCCATTTGAAATAAATAAATTATCTTAGAGACATGCTTTCACGTGAAAAGCTCTCACATCTAGGTAAAAAGTCCAGGTAAAGAAGGCAATACCTCCACTCTCTTGATGGGATCCCATTTCTCAGGAGGAGGGCTCAAGAAGGACTTCTTCAAGCCGTACACAACATAAGATTACTTGAAACGTACACACTTAGATGCCACCCTCAAAGTGGACATTAGAACCTTGTCAAAAGATTGCTGAGCTGGGAGATATAGTGGCGAGGACTTCGCACAGTAATAGCTCTGCATAAATACTACTTTCAATAAAACGATGTTTTGTAGATCTGCTATTGGCTCTAGATATTTATACAGTTTTAAGTTTGATTGGTGCTCGTTGAGCTGTGTGCCATTAACTCTAGACAAGCATCAAGATTTCAGGGTCCCTAACACTTCCGTTGGTGAAAGTGGTAGCGTGTTTCCACCCAGTATTAAACTGATGTAAATGCAATTCTTTCAAACAGGAAATTATAATCTTGCTTTTAAGATTAACTTTTGTTTGAAATGCAGTTCAAATGTGTTCAGAAGATGATAGCAGAAACGATGGCTCAAGTTATAACTTTGGTTCAGGAAGCATTTAGTTTCATCAAGGACAAAAATGACTATATAACTTTCCTATCCATGTCCGAATTCAGGCTCGAAAGATTTACTCCTTTCTGTCCGAATTCGAAGTCTCTTATGATCATTAGCTAAGCTCTTCATAAAATTCGCTAAATGGATTATTAACAAGTGAGATGCCGATTTCTTGTTTCCCAGAAGAGAAACAGACGACTTCTAATCATTAGGATATGCGGAGAAAATTCTACAGGCAATGTTATCAACGTTTCCTAGTAGTACCTAAACAAGGGGCCAGTCAACAATTCCACTGAAGAGGAATCAGAGATGGGCTTTGGAAGGCATGAGTAATAGGGCCATGACGTTAGCATTCTTTTTTATTTCTGAACTCTGAAAGCATCTAGTTTACCATTTCCCTGAAAGAAATTTGCTCATATTTTTAAAATCCAAGACTCACGAATGAGATAATATCCATGATGCTTTAAAACAGATCCATTCGGTTCACTCGAAGCGGAATGTAATAATACGAGATAAGTAAGTAAAGTTATAAATATGACAGATTGGTGTTGGTCTAACCATGACCTGATCGATGGAAATATTGTTTACTGGTCTCCTCAATAACAACTGAATACTATAAGATCAGAAAGTGACCATATATTACTCATTAATGATAAGAGTAGCAGAGGAGCAAGATGCCAATTCGTGAAATATAAATTCCACATTTCATTAAAAGTGACAACTATAGTGTTGAGCTATGCTAGGAAACAGTAACTTGAAGCGCACTTTATTTGGAAATTTGCTTGCGGTCATCACAAATTTTATACAAGTTTCAAATAAAGTTCCTCTTAATGATATAGGAACATGTTTATAGTTGATTCAGGTGGATTCAAGCAAAATGTTACGCAGCACAAAGTATTATGTTCAATGGTAAAACGCATCAGGAGTTTTGGCTAGACTCTAACTTAAAGGGAAATGGACGTTAACACCACTTTAACCCCTAAAAGACTGAGGCGTTTATTGAATTCAAAGACACTTGCAGCTAATTTATGCATAAAATCTAATATATAACGTGACACAATATGTCTAAGAGACAAAATGACATTCAATGGAGGAATCTCACGCAAATGGGTGCTTTATCAACATTCTAACGGGTTTCGTGGATAACAGATAGAAACTTTAGCTCTACTGTCTACCGGATTGTGAATTTGTTAACAGGCTATTTGTGTTTGATAGCAAGGCGTTGAAGAGGTTAGAGATTATGGGTTCAAACCCATCGGTTTATACTGAGTGGGTATGGTCTGGCTGATACCTTTCAAAACGGAATTGGAAACTATCTAACCTGAGTTATTCCCGAAAGATTCCCAAAAATGTCAAAATGTTGTGAAAATAATATTAATTTACACCGTTATGATGAAAATACTGTTAGCATTTTTTGAATTCGACGGAACTATTTTCACTTGGAGAATATGAATTATTAATAAGCATTGCCTCAATCGATTTGTGACTTACGAAAGGAAGGAAGTATAAACAGAGGGCCATTTCCATGAATTAGGATAATACTCAAGGTAATTTTGTCAAATGAACTATGAGTTTTTGTTCCTCTTTCAGTGGAAGAGCAATTAAACATAATAAATTAGAATCAATAAGTTTAGTTGAACAGTAAATACGTAATTTTGAAAGATATTTATTGCCTTACTTGGTGCAAAACTCTGTTAACAAGGGAGACTGCTTTCCGCTTATAATTTCACTGATTGTGTTTTCATTATACTAATCAGAAAATGAAAAAGTTAAACCTTTTTGTATCATCGAAATGACATCAGAAAAGAGAATTCTCAAGGTAGAACTGGAGTCGGCATTATTTTCACTCAAACGCGAAATTGTTTGTCCCGGCTAAATGTCCTACAACCTTTGAATTTCCTGATTTTGTCAAACGCACGAAAGGCTGGCTGATTTCCTTGCTGTTGATTTTGTCAAAACTTTTCTCATTTTTTTCTTTGGCATTACAATTTTGATTAATAATGTAGTTTGGTTAGAAATAGCTGGACATTAGTTAGGCCTTGAAAGTTGTTTGAGTTAAAGTATCGAAAGTCGATGGAATCTCGTCAGCAGGGCTGCTCGAAGAGCTCCACCAAATATGACTCGATCTCGACACTTAGAATTAAAGATCCTTCCAATATTCCCTTTGGCGATTTATCGAGCATGATAAACTCATGGAAACTGGTAAAATGTTGAATAGAATGCTATAAGAATAGAGAATTTTTGTCTCTTTTAAAAGATTCTCTAAGGAGGTTTGCACTGAACTAGATATAGGTGTGGGATTGAGGTGGTGTTCTCCCATATGACTTTTCAGCTAAAACTGATTTCCATGAAATTTAAAATGATCGGAAACAGGGCACTAAATTTTTTTACGATCAATTCACTTGTAGAATAGTGAACCCATCTCTCTTATGAAATCAGAGCCACTGGTTCTTCGAAAGTTTTCTTACAACTGTCAACTTTGCATATTGGTTGTTTTATAATCTTAGAGAGAAGAAGACGCCAAAAAATACTAGATGTTTTGACTACTTTATCTTAAGTCTTAAAATGTATGTACCTTGGTATATATAATAAGTCGAGATCTAGTTCTGATGAGCAGATATTGCTTCAGTTATAGTTACTTAGATTAAAAAAGAGTAAAACCAGCAGCTCAGTATTAGCAACTAGCATTTCGTGTTAGTGTTATGACTTCTGACAGTACGAAAGAACAGCAATTAGAGTATTTGATGTCCTAGAAATCGGTTTGTGCTCATAGCATATGACTTTCGTTAGCTCTTTTTAGATTTCCTAATTTTCAAATAAAAAATATACTTCATCCAATGAAAATACCACACCCTTCCCTTAACAATAGGCGGGCGCTTGTCAGGTGGAAATTTTGACAAAATAAAATCCACAATTCAGAACATTACTAATATACTTATTTGCCCTTTTCCAGAATTATGCAGTGCCTGGTTATACTGTTGCATACTTCAACAGTAAAGAACAGAAAAATGAAGAAAATTCTGGATTAATGCTTCAATTACAGGAAGAAAAATTCGCAGTTGTCAGCGTTAGTGTGTACTTGAAATCTGAAGAAAACATGCGCTATTAATCGGTGAATCAGCGGCGGAAATCCGACTTAGATCTCGCATTCCCTGATTGTCTTTACGGAGAACGGACCTTCGAGACCACCCATTAAGTTCACGTTTTCTATATGCGATTAGCTGTCTAGCTAGCTTTGGACCAATCAAAGTCTAGATAGTCTCACGATTAACCAATGGTATCTTAGCGCATAGTCACACATGCGCACACAAATAAATGCAAATGCATCGGTAATGCGTTCGGCATCTCATGCCCCAGGTTTCATTTTACCACCCGCGTTGTGAATACGAGACCAAAGCTCATACATTTCAAGAACCCCACGACTTCGACGACTACGATTAGTCTTCTACTTTCTATCATGCACACGCGCAGCATGCCCGCTTAAACCCACTTGGAACTCTATACTACTAATAAAACGTACTACCTACTTAATTTAATTATGCTATTCAACCTTCTACTACCATTTTTATTGATAATTGCTGCTGAGAATATCTCTCCAAATGAACCCCTGAGAAGTTGGTATCCTTATCGCCAAAAGTCACCTAAACAGCGTCGAGAGTCCACATCGGTTGGAATCCATAGGGATTCTGGAAATGGACTTGAGCTTCCAGCATGTCCAGTGGACTGTCGGTGCTTTGCAAAAGCGGTTCGGTGTTCGGGTCAAAGCTTAACGGATATCCCCAAAAATCTTCCATTGGATACGGAAAGATTGTAAGTACCAACATTAAGTGTTTTTTTTTCTTAGAATTCCTTCTGATGGCGAGTAACCTATTCATGAGATATAAGACTACATTTTCTGGATAGGTTTACGTTTACTGTTCGTTCATAGTGTCCTTTAATCAAAGGATGAGTTAATAAGTGAATACTTCTTTTTGCCACCACCGTCAACCACTCATTACTGTTAATGATTTTCACTTTATCAAAAAGGGAGAATTATTCATAGGCAAACTGTATTTAGGAGTTGTTGCAACGAAGAAATACGTGTGATGAAATATTTTGACTCTAAATTCTGTTTGCATAGTCTAACTGCTTTCAGAGTTTGAAGAAAAGTTAAGATTCGGCATATATTTTTGCAAGCGGGTGATATAGAAGACGAAAGGTCTATTCCCTAATCGAGTGGCTTTACGGACGAAAAATCCCAAACTCCACCTAGCCATTCCCAAAAGATTTTAATTAATGAATGGTGTTTCCTCACTGTTCTACTTCTATGAGTGAAAAACCTCTTTCAAATTCGTTCGACCTAGGTTCATTGGTGAATTGGTGTCCAAATGACATCCCTTTGTGTCTAGCGCAGATGGCAACGTACCGTCACGTCAATGTCATGAAGTACATTTTTGACACGAGCCATTTTATGGAAAGTTAAGGCATGACGGAGTGAAGTTTGTAGGGGAATCGGGAGCAAAGGCGTCGGCAACTCTCCCGGGGGATTTTACTGGACGAAATTTTGGAAATGTCATAGCCGATCATTGTCGTCCCCGTTGTCAAAGTGAGAGGGACAGGATGCTAAAAACGGCTGGGTGGGCCGACTCATAAATCACGTTAACTTGCAAAAATATTATCACTAGTTTACGATTGAGCTTAAGCACCGACAGAAGCTCATTAATTATCCTCCATTAAACTTTTCAAACAGAGCTTCTCATTAATAACCTCATTGAATACGACCTTTAGTATCCAAATTTTCTGGCTAATGGATGTCCATAAAATTTAAATCGCTTTCCCGATTCTAGTTGTGCGCAAAACTTGCCTCTTCAGGCTTGAATATTTTTCCTTTCCACATACTTTTATATCGCCACTTTGGCAGTTGAGCAAATTATCCATTTTCACTTTACTGATTGTCAACAAAACTCATGCGTAAGCCTCCCTTTTCCTCCTTACAATTAAGTGAACCCTTTAGAATAATTTTTTGATATCTTTTTAGGTTTTTCGAAGCAAACTAGGTGTAATTAGTGTAGATAGAATGAGATGCAAACGCCAAACATGTTTATACCACCCACCGCGTTGTTGAAGATAATTCGAAAACTGCTTCCGACCACTTAAACAGACGTCGTTTGACGCATATGACGACCACACCTTAACAGCTTGCTTCGCACAATATGTTGTCAGGTCCGCTTCACTCTAAGTCCTCTAAATTGCCTAATAACCATCATCAGGTCAAATTATTCCAGCCATAGGTGGGATTTTAACCTTAGTGTGCGCAAATTGCAACATTCCTTCTCCTCGTTTAGTGGGGCTTGTTGGAGGTTACTCGTGATCAGTTTTATTGCTGCTTGTTTTACGCAGCTGAATATTTAAGCGGGAAATTTGGTTTAATGACCCTGCTGTAGACCGCCCACGTGCGTGCTTTATTAACAAGATTCAGTCGAATCTTGTTGGATTTATATGACAGCAACTAGCCTAGGTCAGTGGGCAGTGAGATGTCCCTGACCTGAGGTTGTGTGAAATAAGGCTGTCGGTGTGATATCTGTCGGCTTCTGGGTGGTGATGCGCACTTAAAAGAAATTTTAAGGAATGAATATCTCAGGTGAAGTACATGGGTGCATGAAACAGGGTTTCACTCCATCCCATATTTACATAAATCTTAATCTTTTATTGTTTTGAAGTTTGTTGTTACTATTACCGATTTCAAGATAGTTTTGATCTAAGCGCTCTATGACACCCCAATCCGATATTATTTTCATAATTCTTAGAATTTTTCATTGAGAACTAATAGAAACAAGATAAACACCCTTAACCAACCAAATCTTGAGATTTATTTTCTTTCTGCTGATAAAAATTGAGTAATCTATTGCATATTTGATGTCAATAAATACCTTATCTAACGGCTAAATTGCACCAAAATTATATTCAGCAGATTTCTTGTAACAGGTCTCCAACCCCGCAAATATTATTCCTTGTGCATAATTACTAATAATACTCCATCTCCCATCCTTCACCTTGTTTTAACACTAAAGCTATGGAAACCGCATTGTATTCATATAATGACATGTTAACTTCTTCCTTATATTAAATAAACTTGCCTACTTGGAGCCAAAATGGTTTCGAGGGCACTATGATTTGGGGTTTGGTTTATAATTTAAGTAATTAGTGAAATTCACAGGAACTTCATCATTTACCAGGAATTTGAGTGTTCTTCAAGATGTATCTAGAGTTTTGGGATACAATTTATAGCCAAATAGATAATTATCCCTAAATAAGTCACATTTTTTTCATCTTAATATGAAGTTGTAAATTTTAAGATTTGAACTGCGCTCGTGGTTAGAATGGACTATTGCGCCGAAATTGGGTCAAGTGTTGGTCAGTTTAGATTTCTTTAATCGTTGTCCTCAACATTAATAGCGCAGTTTACCTTCAATCAAATACGCGGCTCAAATACTGTTATCATAATGATTGCAAATCTGTTGATGACAGTGTCAAAAGATTTCAAAAAATCCCGCTTATTACTAATCTTCACTATTTGAAAAAATAATACCTAAGGCAGCACTCGTTATACGACCTTTTTTAAGCTGAGATCACAAATTAAAAGCGACACACCTCCAAAGATCGTAGGAAAATGTTACTCTAAATTTCCTTCTGCATTCTCACCAAATTGAAATAAACTTTGAATAAATCGACCTAACAATGGATCTCTCTACTCACTTTTAAGATAATGAATTTCTTAATATTTCTATAAGGTCTTTAATAGTATTTAAAAGTATTAGCATATTCTGGAATCTAAAAATGGTCTCATCAATGTCTATAAAACCGATTTGAGAAATTATTCTCAATTGTTTGAAGATTGGAATATTCAGTTTAGTGAAGAAAAATCCTGATTGATCATTACTTTAGTTGTAATCACTCGATAAGAAAAGATAACAATATGTACTGGAATATATCGAATAAAGCTAATACTTTCTATTCTTTGAGTTTAATTTTCTTTCGAAGTGTGAGAATTTAAAATATTCGTAATAAATGGCCTCTGAAGATGTTGAGCCCATTTCGATTTTTTTGTGTGCGTTAAAGGCCTATAGGTATAATTTAATCAACCTGCTTATTAAGAGAGCCTTGAATGATTGCAAAATTAGCTCTTTGCCTTCACTAAAATCAGTGGTCAACTTTGGGGGCTTTCGATTAATAATAATCCCCAGTATCAAAGCCACGGTAATTTTAATCTGTCATTGTAAATCAATACGTAATAAAGCCTTCTAGTTATTTTGCAAGTAAATATTATTTTCCTTTTGTGGTGTTTTACTGACAGTGTGTATCCTTTAAGCTTAAACGAAGTATTCATACTCCCTGATTGCCACCGGCAAAGTGTAGCCGAGTAACTTTTCACGAATTTTGCATTGTCCAGAAGCGAATTTACCCCAACCACAATGACTTCCCATCTTGCCATTCCTAAGGAGTTGAGATTGATTCGAAATCAACTTTTTTTCTCTGATTGAAAAACAGGCAACATTCTAATCGATAAATCCTGAATTGGCCTTAATAGTTCGATCATGTGTATGACTACATTCGCGTTGATCTTGCAGGTGTACATGTGTCCCCATATTTGTCAACTTCTGAAAGGGGTAAATTTTTTTGCCAATCGCATCCCGTTTATGCACGTCGTAGATGCGGAATTGACCACTTCCTGAACCTTCTGCACTTTTGAGGGATTAGAAACGCTAAACACCATTTGTCGCTAAAAGTACAAAGTAGACACCCCCTTTTAAGGTTAACGTTTTGTTTAGCCAACTGGGCTCATGAGAATACATTATCTACAACTTTCTTTAAGTTCAAATTTATTATGTGGTGGGATTATGTTAAGCAAGTTAAGAGCCCGGTGATAGATTGAGTGAATTTCGGAGCTTGTCAGGCCAATGCAATTTATTTATTGTCAGTTTGCTTTCAAAAGCGATTTAATGCGTCCAACGGAGCCTTTTAGGTAATTCAAGAATCAACTTGAACTCCACTAAGCTACCTATTAGAGAATATCACGCCATGTTTAAAACTTTTCCATGTCAATTTTTTTGCTTTTTTCTCATGAAATGATTTTCCTAACTTCATCCTTTTTCTTCAAATTATCAGCAAGTCAAATGTAAATAAAATTTTAGCTTCTTATGAATAAATTAGTCTAACTATGAGTGATTCTTTCTAACTCTTGGGAATTACAATCCACATATTTAATGAGACATATCATCTTCAAATACAACACCGACCATAACTGCAAATCTAAACAAAAATATTTGGAAATTCTCCTCCAAAATTACAGGTTACCAGCGTTCTTCAGATTTGCATCCAAGCTTGTGATACAACTTTTAAATTGTTCATCGGGCCAACACTACAACTCTATATACATATCAAAGTTTGTGACATCTAAATATCATTCTGCGTAGCTCCTATTTCCAAATCTAGTGTGACTCATCCCTGTTCGGTACATATTGTCGGCGGTGCCAACCACACAGGAAGAAAACCCATTCCTTTTCAACCCTCCTCTCCCTCCTCGCCTTCTGGGTATTATCACCATTCTTCTCTAATGAAAAAGTTAGGTTAATTGATATGGTGATAAGATGAATAGTTTTAGTTTCCAATCTCACCATTGCATATTTATTCTGAGGCATTGCAAACAACTTTTTCTCTGGACGATTTTCACGCAAGATTTGCCATTTCATAACACTATAATCTAATTAGCTGGTTAGTAGGTAGTACGAATAATTAGATTTTGCCAAACCTTCAGTATGCTTTAAATAGACTTTTTTAATCGCTAATTTCTGCTCATATTTACTTAGGAGAGGCAAATGATGTCTAA